AGACAAATTTCAGTATTTTTATATGAACATTCTTAGTCTTAAAACCTATCATCCTTCCAAGACTCACTGAGAATCAAAGACTTAAATACTTTGGAGAATGAGCTGAACTTTGCCTTATATAAGGAATAAATTAAAAATTCTCGAACTGTATAGCTTCAAATCCGAATGTTGTATTAAATTTTGCACCCCAAATTCAATACAAAAACTTTGCTTTCAATATATTATCTTGATTTTTCAAATGTTGCATTTTACTTTTTAATTTATCTTTTGAACAGAGAATCACTGAAATTATAAAATCAAAACTTTCAGCTTGTGAATTTTCCTCCATATATAATAAATATCTGTAAATATGATATAGAGACATGTTAACATACAGTATATTTTATTACACAAATATATTAAATATATCAGCACTATATATTACATTATATATAATTTACAATAATAAATGCCTATAGAATCTCCAAATGATTCTTTAAGTTATATTTAAATATTTTTAAATATTTTGGCAACATAATTTTTGTTCTTATATTAATTAAAAATGCTCATTTGCTTATCTCTCCAGTGTAGATATATAATAGAATTTCCCCAATTCATAGAATCTTTACTAAAACTAAATGAGATAATGTATTACATTGCTAGGCACTATGCATGAGGAATAGTTTAATAATAGATAAATTTTAGCTGTTATTATTATCAACTATTATCTCATGATATTCATATGATTTCAAATATTCACTCCTCTTGGGAAAAGCTTTTTATATGAGCGTGAAATGTGATATAATGGGACTAAGAGCAGATGATATATTTTGAAGATGTTGCCAATAAAATATATATTCATTAGTGAGGTACTCCTGTACTAAGTGGTTTTATTCTCCTTTATATATTTTTCAAACCATAGGGTATAATTTTAGGTCAAATAGGAAGCAACAGCAACCAGAATCAAATTTCCAAATTGCTATTTTTGTTATATTTAATTATGAAGTAACCTTGAGGGTAGATAGGCGCATTCTGCTAATATGATAGACTGGATTCATTAAAAAGTGAGTAGAGAAGCAGATTTTGCATTGCCCTCTGTACACATACAAACTCTCTCTTGTTCAAACACACACACACACACACACACACACACACACACACACACACACCAAGTTTAAGAATTGAGGTAAATGCATAGAATTTTAACAGTATTTCAAGATATGCAACAATAGAATGGGGGGTACACAGCCAGTGCTGGTTCTAATTTATAAATGCTATTGTAGTGGTTATCAGAATAAGCCAGTAAATGCAGAATTGGGAAGACAGACCTGAAGGGCACATAGGAACATGACCCTAAGAAGAATAACTTAGTTCAGTTGCCTAGAGTTAATGGGGGGAAAATTTTGAAGAACTTTTCTATAAGATGTAAAACAATGTAAAAAAAAACCTTTCAATTTTATTACTTATAACCTTAAAATCAACGTTTTCCACATTTATTTTCTTCAAATATCTTTTAGTATATAACATAATGTTTTCCTTGAATATGTTTCATTTTGCAGCACATACAATATTATTCTATTAATCAATGTTTTGGTTTCCTTTTAATTAAGACTTTTTTAGAGAAGTTTAAGGTTCATTGTAAAACTGAAAGCAGATATAAAGATTTTCCAATACCTGCTTCTTCGACATTAAGTCTCACTCATTATTAACATCTCACAGTAGAGTGGATACATTGGATACAATTTATAAATTTATATTAACCCATCATTATCACCCCAAATCCATAACTTAAAATATGGTTGGGTATCCCTGGTGGCCTAGGGGTTAAGACTCAGCATTATCACCATAACGGCCTGAGTTCAATCCCTGACCAAGGAGCTAACCTACGTGGCACAACGGACCTCTCCTGTCTTGCCTGCTGCTACCCTCAGCAGCGTATTTCAGTAGATCCACCTGTTCTGCTCCCCACCCTATCTCTGGCGAATCCTATCACCCCCTGCATCACTGGTTTACTTTTGGTTTACTTATGGTTTACTTTTGGTTAAATCCATTCTGTGGAGTTAAAGAAATGTATATTGATATTTATTCATCATCATAGCATCATACAGAACATTTTCATGACCTTACAAATTCTCTTTGTTCTACTCATTCATTCCTCCCTTCCTACAACCCTGATATTTTTGCTGTCACATTTCAATTGTCTTACCTTTTCCAGAATGTCATGTATTGGAATCACATAGCATGTACATTTTACAGTTTGACATCTTTTACTTAGGAATATGCATTTAAGTTTCCTTTATGTCTTCTCATGGTTTGATAGAGCTAAGTATGTGATACTTGTATGCTAGTATGCTTGATAGAGCTAAACTTATGTTTAGAGCCAAGTATTATTCCATTGTTTGTATATACCATAGTTGATTCATCCATTAATCTACTGGTTGCTTCCAAATTTTGGCAATGATAAAGTTGTTATAAACATCCAAGTGCGGATTTTTGTGTTGATATGAATTATCAACTCTTCAGGATATGCCAGTAATCATGATCGATGCATCATATGGAAATGATATGTTTAATTTTGAAAGAAACCACAAAACTGTCCAAAGTGACCACCAATTTGCCATCTTACCAACATGTATGAGAGTTCCTACTGCTTCACATTCTCACTAGCACTTTGTGTTTTTAGTATTCCAGATTTTGACCACTCTAATAAGTATGCAATGGTATCTCATTATTGTTCTTTACATTTTACAATGCTGCATTTTTCTGATGACATATGATGTGAACATCTTTACATATTCTTATTTGTGAACTGTATATTCTTTTGAGAGGGTCTGTTAAGATCTTTGGCCCATTTGTCAATGGGATTGTTTTTTCCTTTGGTTGAGATTTACAAGTTCTTTGAATAATATTTATCTGTTGTGTCGTTTACAAATATTTTCTCTTAGTATATGACTCTCTACTCATTTTCTTTAGATTGTTTTCCACAGAGCAGATGTTTCAAATTTAGTAAAGTCCAGCTTATCAATCTGGTATTGTATCCAAAATGACATGTCCATATCCAATGTCATCTAGATTTTATTTCATTTCACCTTCCAGAAGTTTTATAGTTTTGCATTTTACATGTAGGTCTGAGATCTATTTTTAGTTTACTTTTGTTAACTTTTTTTTTAATATGTGCATATGATATCCAGTTGTTTCAGCACATTTGTCTAAAAGACCTTCTTGCTCCATTGTTTTATCTTTCCTCTTCCATCAAAGATCAACTGATGGTATCTATGGGGTTCTAGTTCTGGGATCTCCATTGATTTGTCTATTCTGTCATCAATAGCACACTAGTTTGTATATAACACAGCTTTATGGTAATTCCTGGAATCAGGTAATATTAGTTTTCCAACTCTTCTTCTTCTTCAAAAATTTATTGGCTATTCTGTGTCTTTTTTACTTTCCACATATAATCATTTTGCTGATAACCACAATATAATTTGTTGGGATTTTGATTGGATAAATTGAACTAGTAGGTCCAGTTGTGAAGAAATTACATGTTGACAGTATTGAACTTTACAATACATGAAAAAGAAATGTCTCTTCTAGATGTTTTTTGTCAACCTGTGTCCAGGGGTAATATAAAGTAAATAGGTGCTGAAGAGGCTTCAGATCATTTACCCTATACTCAAGCAGTAGCCAGACTTTCACCTTTGTTCAACTTTGCCTTCTGCTACAGATTTTCTTTGTGCATAGGTTTCTGAGGGTAAGGAATACTTAAAACTTACTATATAAAGAACATTTAAAATTATTTGAAGCTAGAGACTTTAGAATGTCTATAGTATGCATTACATATATAACTACATTATTTTATATCACTATATATATCACTATATATGTGTCTGTGTTTTACACACACACACACACACACACACACTTATCTTTTCAAGTATAGTAGTCACAGAAAGTTCACATTGGGCCCAAGCTCTTCACCTTTTCTGATTATATTCCTTTTAAGCATTACAATATGATTCAGTCATGAAGAACGTTTTTCATTCCATGACCAAAAAAGGTCTAAAAAGGTTACAGTCTGAAATAGTATTACTTTTGCTGTCATTATTATTAACGGTAAATGAGAAATCTAGGTTAAGGAAAAACTACTGAGGCCATTGTGATCCTATGTGGTCCATAACCACTTTTGTTTGCCAAACTATTACCTGAATATATATCACTTACGTGTTCTGTCTCAGTAGATGTTATTCATTTATTTTGCAATTTACTTTGAAAAGTACTGAATTCAATAGTTCCCAATTCATAGCCACTAGTCATTAGGTGTTCATATTTTTTAATTCTGTTCTTTTGGTTAGTATTTACCACATATTAACATATAACTTTTCCTTTAACCCCCAAAATCGATAAAATGAAGTCATTTTCTTTTCTAACCTATTTCCAAAATTTTTAGTCCTAGATTTTCAATATACTTTTGGTAGGCTTTGGTAAGATCTTTTTAAAGTGTATCTTTTCTTGCTCTCTTTGCTCTCTCTCAGCATTTCCCCTTCCTGTAAAGGTAATGGGGAGATGGCAAGCCTGGGAACTAAGGAAAGCTAGCTAATGAATGGGAATGGAATGGAAAAGTATATTTTTTAACCTTTATTCTTGAAAGTAAGTACAATTTCCGTGAACTGTTTTTAAAGGTTATAAGATACTGAGACCTAAAAATAATAAGTTTTTTAATGTTACTTTGCAACATTTTTTTCTCTTCACCTGTTTTCTTTTATGTCAAGTTTTCCTATCCACACTACGCCCACTACCTTCTCCATGGATTTCTGAAGCGATGTCTCATTCTTTTGCACAGTATTAAAACAATTCAGACCCAAACTTAATTTTATCCTACTATTTCAGATAGTAATAGATTCACAAGAAGAACAGAAAAATGAATATTTAGAATTTTGGGTAAAGCTATATGAATTGCATGAAATATGATCATTTCTATGTAATCAAACTCAAGTCATTTCATAAAATAAATGAATTTTTCTTACTTCTATTTCTACAGACTCATGTAGTTTCTTGCAGGTGGCTGAGAAGGTTTCAGAGGTGCCAAACTCAAAATACCAAAATTTGTTCTTCATTCTGAAAAAGGGAAGAAGCAGGATAGATTATTATTTATAACAGAAGAAAAAAAATTAATAGGGTAGTTCTGTCTTGTATTATAAGTGATAGAAAAGATTTGAAGACATGTACCATCTATAATGTAATAAATGGTCATATAATTTTCAAAGCTTAAATGTTGGTGTCAAGTTGTAGAATTATACCTGAAGGGCTCACAGCAAGTGTTGATCTGACAGTTTCAAGTATATTTTTGACTTTTCCATATACTGGCTCCTCAGATTTAAATATATCTATATCTATATATCTATATATCCGTACACAAACATTTATTAGTATTTTGATACTCAGGATGTTTTTAGACAATTTGATTTTACAGTTGCTCTTTAATCATAAATAGAAAAAAACATGGGTTTCTCATGAGAAAAAATAAACTAAGCTTAAATATGCTAAATTCTTCAAGATGACTGTATTCATTGGAATTTGGCATGACTGTATGGCACATTAAAAAGAAAAAAATTGTCATTATCCATATAGATAAAATTTAGCAATTTTGGTATAATTATTAATTTTTATAAAAAGATATCCTCCTTTATATGAACAATAGCGGGAAGTTATAACACAGTATAAATGATATAAAGGAGTAATAAAACATTTTTATCAATATAACAAAAGAGAGAAAATAGTTTAAGTTATTTTAGTATTAATCTGGAAGTACAATGTGCAAAATGTATTTTTTTCTCACAATCCAATAACCATATCTTTGGTTCTTTGTATCAGACAATTATACTTATCATCATTTAATGTAATTTAACAAAGATTGACTAGAATTTTATAGTACCCATTATTGGATTTAAATATTCATTCTTATGAAAAAATGCAGTTTTTAATTACACATATTCTAATAAGGCATCATGACTTCAATTAGAAGAAAATACAGGTAAAATGAGATGTATATATTCACACATGAAAACAAAACAAAAAGAAATTTTAATGATATTCAAACATGTTTCATAAAATTGCATATTTTTAGCTTATAAATAATAACGTACTTTTCATATTAGAACATAAAATATTCCAACAATTAAAAAATCTGGCAAGAATCATTTACTTAATTCAACCTTACATTAGTTAGTTATTCTATTAATAGATATTATCAGTCAATTACTCTATTATTAGCTATAGAAAATGTAGGGTGGTACAGTGATTATTACTATGCTATGCTGAATAGAGCTCTCTAATATGAACTTGCAAATTATAAAGATAATCTTGTCTATACATATTTAATAATATTTAGCCTCATTCAAGGTTTTATTTGCTTACAAAATTTTCATTAGCCCTTCTTGTATCAATTACCATATTCAGGGAGGTATTATGAAAATCAATGCAGGTTTCATAGGATTTAAGCACAATGAATTCTTATCCTTTTTTAGAGAATATATTCCTTAGGTTATGGCCTGGACTCATATATCTGATTAAATAAAAATGGATTATTAGTAATTAGACATAACAGGAGTAAATATTTAGTACCAAAATCTGTGAGCCTACATGCATATCAACTTTATAGAATGAATGTACTTTTGCAAATTTATATGCTTGCTGAAGTTATGCAAAATAAAAAATCAGTTTGATGAAAATTGAGAAGAAAATATAGGTCTGTATGAGGTTGTCTCAAGACATCCTAAGAACAGTAATTAGTTGAAGCTTTGTGACAATTTGGAACTATCCTTCTACATGCAACAAGTTTTTCTAATAATATTATTGTGTTGGCCTTTTATCTGGACCTTCTCAGATTCATTCATTCACTCAACAAATGTATAGTGAAAACCTTCATTTCAATGTTACTATGTTAATGTTTAAATATATAAATATGAGTGCAATTCTGTTTTCACGGAGCTCAGAATACTGTAAGATTGGGGTATACACAATAGTAATAAATTAAATAAGAACAAAGCATTTTGGAACTGCCCTATATTGAATCAATCAATCACTCTTAATTGGAGGAGTTCAAAAGACTTTAGAAGAGAAGGCAACAAAGGAGGAAGGTGAGACAAGTTGTAGGTGTATTTAGGAGACAGTATGACTTAACCGAAATGCTCACAGACTAATATGGGTCTGTTCTGGAATGTGCATGCCAAGGTAATGGATTTGGTGCGATATCAAAGATAAAAAGTGGAGAAGTTAATATGAAATGAAGTGATATGGTCACCTTTGTTTTATGGACAAATACATGTAGCAGAAATGAATAAGGAGACTGGAATGTTGAAATGCTGCTGTTGTTGATGGAAATACTGCTACTGGAATAGTACAAACAAAATATGATTAAGGCCCTAAACCATGTGGCAAGAGAGGGGGAAATGCTCAACTCAAGAGACATAAAAGAAGAAAATCAATGGAAACGACTGGTACTAGATTATTCTGATTTCTGCATATATAAGTGATCTCTGGATGTGTATGTAGGAACAGCAGAGTATTGGTCCAGCAAAAGAAGGGCTGTGAGTTTATATTTTGACAATTTCTATTATATAATACATAATGTTTTTTAATTTGAAAATTATGTATATATATGTGGCTTGTGATTGCACATAAATAATTATTCCTTTTTTTCTCTAATTCTGTCCCTCATAATTCTCCAAAATTTAATTAGGATGTTGATTTTGTATCTACTAGCCAAGATGAATTCATTTTAGCAAACACATCACAAAAAGCAGAAATTCTGAGAATTTACATTCAGTCTTTATTCACCATATTAGTTAGCATTACTGCTCATGTGCAAAACTGCTTTAAATTCCCCATTATTACAACCATTTTATGTTTCACTTAGATAAATATATGGAGGTAATAAAAAGCACATAGAATCAGATTTCACATGACAAATTAAAAGCTGTTAAATTTTATTTTTTCCAACCAAACTAGTCTTTAGGTTGTAGAAATGCAAAAAAAGAGCACATTTTAGCATGTATTCTCTTTATTTTTATGGCTCACATTAGAAAATGATCCAAATAATTCAAACTCAAATTTGTCAGAAAAAGCATTCATTTTGGGACTTTAAGAGTAAGGTAACTGAACACTTTAGCCACTATGAAATATTCACACCAAGGTCAAAGTTATTGTGTTGTTAAGTTTTGTGATTGCAGGTAGCATGTCTTAACAAAAAAGTCATTCATAGTTTTGAAAATTTTAGTTATTAATACACTAAAACTTATTTCAATTAATTTAATTGCAAGTGTACAGGTTTCAATTTAATATTTAAACTACTTGGTTACCAGATGTTCTGGTAAAAAATAAAGAAATTAGCTCCCACATAGCAGATATTTTCTTACTAACAGTAATTTTGCTTCTTTTACATGTCCTCAGGGAAATGTGTAATATCAGGACCTTGTTCATACAAAAACATTACTCTTGCCATTATAACACAGAGTTAATATTTAGATTTTCAACTACTAAACGTTCAAATAAGCCACTTGATTTCTAGGAATATATTTTCTTGGAAAATTTTTTCCTGATTTACATTTATTTTTTTGTTTTGACTTTTGTCAGCTAAGTAATGTTAATGCAGCAAAGATAAAACAAAACAAACAATATATGAATTCTTAGTGAATTTCCCAAAACGAATACCAAGGAGCCTAATTAGATGTAGAACTCTTCTCTAACAAAGATGCAAACTTAAAGAGAGGGGTGAAATCACCTCATTTATCTTACTATCAAAAACTCAAGAGTCATAAACACACACAATTTTAATTCAGTAATATTATACTTAAAGGTCAACTTTTTCTCTCACAGGTGAATTTCCACATTACTTTAATGTATTTAGTGGTGATATAGATAAAACAAGAAGTTCATAATATGTGTAAAACTGAAAGTCTTTTATTAAACACTTGAATCCTTTTTTCAAGTACCATTAATGAAGTGATTTTATCTTTATTGCATGGATGAAATGTTCATTGTATGAGAAGATAAATCTTTGTTTTTCAAATGAAAGCAAAAACATATTGTCCTAAGTAGCTTGGTTAAAATGGAATTAAAAAAATCAATTTATTTTTACTCATTAATGTTTCAGAATTCTCATCGTTGTTATTAGCTTTCTTTCATTTTTGTCCTATTATGAAAGTGTTTCAAGTCATTTAAAATCTGGTTTTAAAATTATTTTTACATGGAGAACAATAATTTCTAACAACTAGTTACTTTGTTTCAATAATAAAAATCAGTCTCATCATTTGATTGAATACCCCAGAAATATAGCAGGACTTTCGAACTTGGCTAACAATGTTGGTAATGAGAGATGCAGTACTATTGACTTATAGCAATAGGGTAAGTGTTTAAAGTGGTACATTTATGTCATAGAATCAATTCAGTTTTATTTGTTTTTCATTGCCAGGAGACATTACACTAAACATTGGTTATAGGGTTACTCATTTATTCCTAAATGTAGTGAGGTATTACTTTTAAAAATACACCACAAGTCAAATGGAAAGGCCCCTGTGGGGCCTGATTTCACCAGTGGACGAGCAGCATCTGAAAGCGGCAGCTCAAGGAGGAAGCCCTGCTGGGGAAGCAAGCAAAACAGCAGAGTAGCTACTGGTTAGCTCAGGGGTCAAGAACAGGGACACTAGGGACATTGTAGTCTATGCTTTTTTGGTCACCTTTTGAAATCTCCTGTAAAATAAATGCCATCTAAATGAGCTACAGTAATAGGTATTTGTTAAGAACTATGTCCACACCCACCTCAAAGGAAATCAGCAATTTAACTTTTTCTTTGATTGGCAACTATAAATTCACCAAGAAAGGGTAACAAAAAAGGTTGTTCGAAGCTTGAGATATTGGGAAAAATAGGAACTTTGACTTCAATTTATAAAATAGCATAGGATCAAACATGTAAATATTTAAGGAGCTAACATATTTGCTTGTAGAAATTTGAAGCTACAATTTTATGTAATTACTAACCACATGAGCATACTAGCCATAACAGTGACCCTATATTTACGTCATTATTATTTTCTAAAAAGAAATACATTTGAAACCCT